CACCCTTAACTGGAGCTCTGGAATGTTCCTGCTCCGTTCTAGCCCCGTCATAGGCGGCAGTCCCGGTGGATTTCACTGTGGATTTGGGTGGTCAGGTTTTATTATTAATAATAAACTGTGTACAGTTGGGTACTTGGCAAGCTTGTGTCGACTCTGCAGCCCTCAGAGTGTGGTCTTGTGGTGAGGACGCAGGGCCGCAGGCCCCTGTGGTGGACGCCACTCGGGGGCTCTTATGTAAGCGGGGCCCAGGGGCCGGCGTCTTCCCCCATGAAGGAGGTTCTTGTTTGTGCAGGCTGGAGGAGCAGTGGCGGCCGGCGCAGAGGACACGAAGCATCTCCAGCGTTTAAGCATTTGAAAACACGGTGTGCAGCATCTGTTTATTCTCCTGGGGGTTTTTTTTTTAAGTAAATTTCTTATTGAGTATTTAATAAATATCGTTACACTTGTAAATATTTACATTACTTCTTATTTTAAATAATTCTTCACTTTTATTCATTGATACCAAGTAATGCGATTCATTTGACAGAATGGTGGCAGTTTTCATCACATTGAGCAAGAACACACTGTCTTTAACCAGCTAGGTTTTGATTTAGATTAACGGCACTTGGGAATCTAAGACACACACCTCTTCACATCAGCTCGGGGAAGGAGCAGGAGCAGGGTGGACTCTGCCCGAGCAGTGCGGAGCGAACACAGCCCCGCTTTCTCTCACTGCCGTTCACACGCACAGCCCCGCGGGGAATGGAGCGAGGTCACTGGGCAAGTCCTTTGCTTTGTGTAAAAATGACGTGAAAGGCTGCTCCTGAAAGTCATTAGGTGTCCGTTCTGTGAAGTTGTGCCTTTTTCAGAGGCAAGGGGGTGGGGAGAAAAAGGAGCCCTTTCAGGCAGAAGCCAAGCGAAACCTGCCACAGCTCCGTCGTCTGGACTCACCAGGTCCGGGCCCTGGCCCTCCGGGAGCACAGCCGTCCCTCCCCACCTGCCCCGCCCCACCCAGAGCTGCTGTCCTCCTCTGTCTGCCCCACTCAGCTGTTCCTCGCTCGCTTACTCCTTAGGTCTCGGGCGCACTCTCTGCCCCCTGGTATGGGAAGAACTTGGCCTCTTATCCACCACTTCATCTCTGCTGGCCAGAACGGGCTGGCATCTCATAGAGGCTCTATAGAAACCTCCGTCCAGGGGATGAGTGATACTCAGTGTGAATTAAGGAAAAAAAAAAAAAGTAAAAGTAAAAATTAGGGAGGTCTGCTCTCCATTTATTGAATGGGTTTTTTCATTCTAGAACTTTAAGTGAGAAACCCGTTGACAGATGAGCATGTGTATAACCAGAAGTTCTGAAACAGGGTGGGGGGTCAGAATCAGCCCCTCATTTTGAATACTCTCCTAGTAAAGTCTGAAAGATCAAAAGAAGATTCCTTGGTGGTTAGAAAGGTCCTGAATCGATGACTTACGTTCCTCATGTTTCCTGCTGGCCAGGCCTGTGCTGGGCGTGGGTGGGGCATGAACGCCAGTCATGCCCACCACCCAGCCCTGCAGAGAGGAAGCCAGGCAGGACCCAGGCTTGTGGCCAAGTCACCCTTTGCCACCAAATGGTGTTTGCAGAAGCAGGGAGAGAGTATGGGTTATGAAGTGGGGTCTGCTGGCCCTGTTTCTGGAGTGCACACCCTCCCCCGTGGAGGGCCAGTGAATCCACAGTAACAGCTGTCCCTGGCAGCCGGTGTTTTGAGGAGGTAAGGCTGACTACACTGAGTTTGGGTCTGCTGGAAAATGTTGAGGACGTCCTCATCCTGCAACCGAGAACCTGCTTCTTGTCCTGCTCTGCTGCTTCCACTCAAAGATGGCCGTGTAGAGGGACCTGCAGGGCCATCCCCTCCAACTGGCCATCTGGGTCCTCATCCTCACTGTTGCCATCACCAGCATCATTGTGCGGTTTGACTACTTCCCTGCACCCTCAGCAGCATGGGTAGTAACCCCAAAAAATGTTATCAGTTTAAAGGCAAAAACTGGAAGTTACCCATTTCACTTTTTATTTCTTTTATCAGTAAAGTTAAGCTGATTTAACATACTCATTGGCAAATTTGCCTTCTCCTTTTGAAATTGGTCTTCTGTGTTCTCTGCTCACTTATCTTCCCCACCACCCAGCCTTTCCTTTTATTCCTGGTTGTGGAGGCGGTGTGTATATTTACGGGGTTAACTCTCTGGTTTATGTCTGGGTCTGTTTTTCCAAAGTTTGCAGCCTGCTGCTGATAATCTTTTAGGAATTCCAGTGATCACATGCCTGGGAATGGTAGAAGCGAATGGTTCCCATAAGTATATGATCTTCTGGCAAGTCCCCTTACAGAAAGACAGTTCAGCTAAAAGTGCTTATCAGTGACGTTCAGTCTGACGGCGGGTGTCCTGAAGAAGCAGAAGCACCCTCCTGTCCCCCCACCCCCCGCCCTGCCTGGGGCAGCGCTCGCCGCCGTCACGACTTAGGTGATGAGACCATCTTCAGCAGCGTGAGCTGGGGGACGTCACGGGCACAGCTCGACTCGGGCAATGGCGTTATTTTCTCAGACCGTGAGAAAGCACCAAGCCTGAAGCCACATGCATCCCGGGGGGGCCTTCCCGGACCCATGCTGGTGGCCGTGTACTTAACGTCTTTGTGTGTCCCTGGCTAGGCTAGTGCAGCCCCCACCACAGCCTGGGTGGACCCTGTTTCCAGGGCTCTCGTTGCTGACTGACCCTTGACCAGCCATTGAAGTGCCACCTTCGTGTAGCGGGAGTGGGGTTCTGCCGTCGGGAACTCAGAATGCGCCTAACTAACAAAAACTCCATTTGTGAGTGGCAGCAAAGGCATTTGGTATGTAATGAAGGTGGCCAGGAAAAGACATCTTTCTAATGATATTAATAATTTCTCAGCAGTTGGTCAAAATATCCATAGAGCCTTATACGCCAAAATCCATTTCTGAGCCATCAGAGTGAGTCATGAAAAAATTTAGCAAATAACCAAATGAATGAAAACTCAACACCAGAACCAAGGATAAAATTAAAATGATTGCCTATTAAACCATTGAAAGGAAGAACAATTGCGAAGTTTTAAGGAAAAGGAAAACTCACAAAGGAAAAACTAAAATAGACTTTATAAAAACAAACGTTTTAACATTTTACCCCAGTTGTAAAAGGAAACAAGAGGCAGGGTAAATGTGTGCGCACGCACACGGAGCAGCTGAGCGCCACAAACCGGGGCGTCTGTGAGACTTGGTAACTGAGCCGACCTCACCTGAGGCGCACCTGGCCACCTTTGTGTTCTCCCTCCACAGCTGGGGCATGAGAATATCTATTTATAGCTCTCATGTGGGGCTGAATCAGATCAGGGCTGGCATATACTAGGCTCTCAATACAGCCGTTATCGTAAGAAACCCACAGAACTCCAGTGGATACAACTGTGAAACACACACACACACACACACAGACCCACAACAGCGCCGTGCACATCACAGAAAGATTCCTAAGAACACGTAAGCCAAGGACATGAATTATCTCGCAAGAGAGGAAATCAGTGTGTGTGCGGTGGTGCTCAGGGAGGCCTCACGGTGATGCCTGCTGGCTTCGTGGCTTTGGGTACGTGGTGATTGGACCAGCAGGAGGAGCAGCTGCCCCCGCTGCAGGTGGATGGGTGGTTCAGGGGGTCAGTGTGCAGCGACGTTTCGTTTTTGTTTTGTTTTTTTTCTTTTGAGACAGGGTCTCACTCTCACTGCCCAGGGTGCAGTGCAGTGGCACAGTCTTGGCTCACTGTAGCCTGGACTTCCCGGGCTCAGGTGATTCTCCCGCCTCAGCCTCCCAAGTAGCTGGAACTACAGGCACATGCTACCACACTTGGCTAATTTTTGTACTTTTAGTAGAGACAGGGTATTGCCATGTTGTCCAGGCTGGTCTCGAACCCCTGTGGTCAAGCAGTCTGCCCTCCTCAGCCTCCCAAAGTGCTGGGATTCCAGGTGTGAGCCTTCGGGTCTGGCCTATGTGTAGGGATATTTTGGACAGCAATTTAGCAAGATGTGCCAAGGGTTAGAATAGTAAGTTTGTCAGATGTAGTCACTTTGCCAACCTGACCTAAGCAAGTCATTCTAAAGATGGTCAGTGTTACCCACTCATAAATGTTGACTGCAGCGTGGTTTCTAACAACCAGAACTGCCTCCCAGTCAGGAAGTGGTTTTGTAAACATGCTTCACTCACCCCACGGTGTGTTTTTGACCATTACAAACGCTATCTGAACATTATGCAATACTAGGCAGATACTTAAGGTGCTGTAAGAAGGATAGAAGTACTGTGTGGTTAGATTGGAGATCTGAGGAGAGCAGGCTCCGTGCTAACAGGCCTTGTGTTCAGGGTGAGACTGGCCTTTTTTGCCAGTTCCCTTTAATGAGGTTTTGAAAAAGAATCACCGCCACAAAGAAAACCACAGTTTCGACTTCAGTCCCACTTGGTGCAGTCACTCTGCCTGAGTCTGAGCTGCCAGGCTGGAGAGGACAGGCGCTGCCCTTTGATGCTGTTGGAAGCAGAGCTGGCCGTCGTGTCGGCACAGGTGTGGAAGCACGCCTTCCTGTGAGACTGGCTTTGTCCCTGTGTGATGCTTCCATTTGCACAAAGCCTTCTCTCTTAGCTTCTGCTTCGCGGTAGCGAGAACGCAACCACCACGCTGCCACTGCCTAATGCAGAGTGTTCTTTTGTATAAGAATATTAAAACTTCCTTCAGAAGTGTTTGTGTTAGCTAACAATAAGTCTTTGGGATGATTAAATCTGCATTTTAAATATAATGCAACTATGTAAAATCTTGATGGGAAGAAGACCTCTTATTAAAACCCCTCCCGGCCTTGGTTCTTTGAGGAAGCGCTCAGGGGGCCACAGCGTCCTGAAGCTGCATAGCCGTCCCCAGCCCTTCCCTCCCTCCGTGGCCCCGCTGCCCTGCATTGCTGCTATAGGGCAGAGCTACACTTCACCCGCCGCTGTGCTTTCTCCCACACCAGGTGCCGTGGCCAGCACAGAAGTGAAGATGAAGTTACAAGAATTTGTCCTCAATAAAAAGAAGGCGCTGGCCCATCGGAATCTGAACCACTGCATTTCCAGCGACCCCCGCTACTGGTATGGGTAAGTGTGGGTGTGGGGAGCACCCCGGCCTCCTCTCTGGGGGCCCAGAGGACCGTCTGATCATTGGTAGATTTGCACGGACCCAGTTGTTTACCTTCTGAGGCAGGGAGGGAGGGTGAGGGATTGAAACCCCAAGCACAGTGGTGCTTGGATGTGGGTGACGTGGTCTGGGGGTACACTCGTGTGGCAGCCATCCTCACGGGGTGGGCCCCTCCAGAGTGACGTGGTCTGGGGGTACACTCACACAGCAGCCATGCTCATGGAATGGGCCCCTCCAGAGTGATGTGGTCTGGGGGTACACTCACACAGCAGCCATGCTTATGGGATGGGCCCCTCCAGAGTGACGTGGTCTGGGGGTACACTCACACAGTGGCCATCCTCACGGGGTGGGCTCCCTCCAGAGTGACATGGTCTGGGGGTGCACTCACACGGCAGCCATCCTCATGGGGTGGGCCCTCCTCCAGAGTGACATGGTCTGGGGGTATACTTGCGTGGCGGCCATCCTCACAGGGTGGGCGCCCCTCAAGAGTGACGTGGTCTGGGGGTATACTTGCACGGCGGCCATCCTCATGGGGTGGGCCCCCCTCCACAGGGACCAAACAGTGCTCCGGGGGCTGGCGCCTGTCGTTACTCTTGGTAATGTTGTGCCATTTTTCAGCCATAATAAGAGCCACTTAAACTGGAACTCTGTCTGAATCCTCTGTGCTCCTCCAGCGCTCCCACCTGATGTTTCAATGATTCTTAGGCTAGTCAGGAAGCCCCTGTGATAATTCTATTATTTTATGCTAAGAAACCGTGCCAGAGCCCAGGCAGTTGACAGGGACCACAAAAGACTTGTTCGTCTGAGGACTGGAGAGAGCCGGCATGCCATGCAAAAGACAGCCTTCGGAGGCGAGTTCACAGAGCCCAGTGCGAGCGAGTGGCGAGGTGACGCGGCTTTCAGCAGTGAGCAAGGGCAACAGAGGGTCGCTTTGAAATGTAGTTTTCTGCTGCTCTCAAGGTTCATTTCATTTCTAGAAAAAACATCCCATAAGGGAGTTTTTGTAAATCGAAATATCAGTAATTTCATTGGAAAAAAAAGTAGCTATTCTCAAGCCTCAAAATGGACAGCTATGTGTAGTGAAACCTCCCACAGTTCGGACGTGATCCCCCTTGTTTCCGTGGAGGCCGCCAGCTACCCTGACACATCCCAAAAGATGTTTCCAGCACAGGTGACCCACGCCCTCCGCTCCGGCAGCCGCTGTGCTTGCCAGGGGCACGTAAGCTGCACTCATGGCAGACACACCGCCCGGATTTGGGTAACTCAACCCGGGACACAAAAACTCATAGGGAGGAGTGAGTTGGGAGCGTCCGTGGGAGGCAGCACGTGACAGCAGTGAGCCATGGGGACCTGAGAGAGGAGGAGGCTTCCTGAGATTCGCTGGCGATCAGCACCTGGGAGCCCACTTTGTCGGGGGACCCTGATCTGTGCCCCCAGAGCCAGTCCACTGCCTGGACTGGTTGTGGAGAAACGCCATTATCCCACTGGCTGGGCTGGGGTGTGGGGTTGCAGGGCAGAAGGAGCAAGGGACAGGAGTGTGGATCGCGGTTCAGATGGTGCCCCTGGGGCCCAAGCTGGAAAGGGCAGGATGAGGAGCCAGGGGCAGGGTGGGCGCGGGGCCTGGCAGTGGATGGAGAGCTGGAGTGCCGAGCCTGCTGGGCCGGGGCAGAGCTGCCTTAGGTCCCTGTGTACAGGGAGGCTGTGAGCAGCCGAGCAAGGGAGCTTTGAGAAGGCAGTGATGGGAGTGGGGCAAGCACAGGCAGCCCTTTCTGAAGAAGAGGACAGAGTCTGGGAGGCTGCAGCGGGAAGATGCAGGAGCAGAGCAGTGGGGCCGCTGGGAAGCAGGGGTCGCGGTGAGCACAGGGCAGCCGCCGGAGGGTGGCCGCGGCAGCGTGGAAGAAGGTGGGGAGCCGGCGCCTCCTCGCCCAGGAGTGACTGGAGAGCGGACGGGGGCAAGGCCGGCAGGAGTAGAAGCCAGGCAGTGACTTGGACCTGGACCTGAGGGGAGGACGGAGCAGCAGCCCAGGGAAAGGCTGCACCTGCAGTCAGTGAGGCCACGGGAGAAGGGGTGGCCTGGGGCAGCCTCAGGGCGCTGGGGGACGTGCTGAGGGACGGGAGATAGGGGCTTCCAGGGAGGAGGGTGACAGAGTGGCTGGGGCTGGGAGGACTCACTTTCCATGGAACTCCCTGGGTGAGCTGGGTGCTCAGGGTGGGTGCCTTGGCCTGGACAAGGCCCGCTTGCCCTGGCGTTAATGGCAGGGGGCAGGGGTACCTCTTCTCAGAGGGCTCTGCGGACATTCAGGTTGGAGGGGGAAGGACTTGATCTCAAGTCAGCCAGAGGACAGGTTTGTTTTCATGGAATCCGGTGGTTTTCTTGTTTTGCCGTATTTGAACCCTGAACTGAAACATCGTGGAGTGGTGGCAGAAACTTTGTCAGAAAACCGGCTCTTCGTGGGGAAAGAACTGAAACCCTGACCCCAGCTTCACACCACGCATGATTAGTTCAGATGTCATAGACCTGCGCATAGACGCGGAACTGATCAAACTTCTGGAAGGAGACCTAGTAGAAACTTTCCCAACCTTGATGGGGAGTGGGAGGCAAGATTTCTTAGGTCGCCAGAATCATCGACTAGATACCAAAAACCCAAAACGGGATATTTCCGCAAACCGAAACACTTCTGCCTTTGAAAGGCACCGTTAAGAAAATTAAAAGGCAAGCTACTGAATGGAAGGAAATATTCACAATGCATGTATCTGACACACCACTTGTATCCAAAATGTAGAGCCCGCTCCTATAACTCAATAGTAAAAAGACAAGCCGCCCACTTAAAAATATGGGCAAAAGGTTTGAACAGGTACCTCACAAAAAAAGGCATGGGGATGGCCAGTAAGCGTGGAAAAAATGCTCAGCATCGCTGGGCATCAGGTAAATGCAAATCAAAACCACGGCAGGCAGCCCCTTCATCCCTGTGGGGATGGCCGGAGTTATACAGGCCGGGTGCTGGAGCAGATGCGGTGTCCCTGGACCTTTGTGTGCTGCCTGTTGGAATCCGAATCATACCTGGGCAAACAGGCAGGCAGTTTCCTACAAAGACACATACCCACCAACCCTGTGACCCAGCGATGCCCCTTCTCCGTATTTGCCCAAGACATATGAAAGCAAGCAACACAACGAGTCGCCTTCTTACGGTCACGGTCACCAAAGAATGGAAACAGCCAAGCTCCCATCAACGGGAACGGCCGTGCAAACTGGGGCCCCTGCACGCACTGGAATGCTGCTCCGCAGTGACAAGGAACGGACCACTGGCGCCTGCAGCGGCTTGGGGGAGCCCCAGAGGCGTGGTGCCTAGACAAAGAGGCACCCTCATGGTTCCACTGATGAGAAATTCAGAGTCAGCAAAGCGAATCGACTGTGAGAGAAAGCAGACCAGGGCTGGGAGGCTGCAGAGATGGGTGGTGCTGTGGCTTCATCAGGGCGCGGACTCCGAGGGTGTTTATGTGCATCAGCGTGTCCAGCTTTAAGACTGTTGTGACGAGGTGGCACTTTCCCGTGTAGCTGCCACAAGCCACACGTGGCTCCCAAGCACTTGAAACGTGGCTGGGTCTGCCAGGACATGCCGTTGATGCAGAGTGTGGGATTTCGGACACTCGGTCTGAAGGAAGGACCCGCGGTGTCTTGTCAATATGTTTATATTGATTGTAAGTTGAAAGGATGGCTTTTATAATGGTTTAATTGAATACTAAAATTCCATTCATTTATTTTTAAGCCACGCTAATGTGGCTACTAGGAAATTATAAATTTCAGATGCGGCTCCCATCGTGTTCACTCTGCTGGCGTGTCCTGGCGCGTGTGGTTCCTTGTTGTATTTCTTGGAAATCATTGGTACGAATCTGATGAAAGGGCAATGGTTTGGAATTGAAGTGGTTGGGTTTGTATGAAGCTTTATTCTACAGTCAAGCCAGTGTTTAGAAGAAAACATTATTTGCTTTTCCATCTTTCTCCAGAAGACAAGGATTGCCTTTAGGTGCGGCACCGGGTTGGCCCCAGGGCCCCATGGGGGCTGCGCCTTGGCTTCTAGCCTGGCGTCTGTGTCCCATCCCCGGGCCGCGAGAAATGAAAGGTTGAAAAACTGGAAGATAATTTCTGGTCAGGGTGAGGTAGAGGGAGCAGCTCTGCAGGTTCTGCCCTTGGGGCTCTACGGGGTGGCCAGTGTGACTGTGTGTGTGTGTGGAGTGTGGCCGGGGTGAGTGTGAGTGTGGGTGTGAGATTCCGGTGAGCTTAGTGTAGGGTGTGAATGTGGGATGTGGGTGTGTGGAGTGGGTGAGGTGAGTGTGGGGTATGAGTGTGAGGTGTGGGAAAGGTGACAGGTATGAGTGTGAGATGCGGGTGTGGGTGGGAGGTGGGCGTGGGGTGTGGGTGGGTGTGAGGCATGAAGTGTGGGTTTGTGGGGTGTGGGTGGGATATGTGTGTAAGTGGGTGTGAGGTAGATGTGGGGTGTGAGTGGGATGTAGGCATGAGTTTGCATAAGTTTAGGGGGTGTGGATGGGTATAGGTTGTGAGGGGGTGTGGGGTGTGGAATGTGGGTGTGAGTAGTGTGCAGTGCAGGTATGAGTGTAGTTGGATGTGAGTAGTGTGCAGTGTGAGTGGGTGTGAGTAGTGTGCGGTGTGGGTGGGTGTGAGTAGTGTGCGGTGTGGGTGGGTGTGAGTAGTGTGCAGTGCAGGTATGAGTGTAGTTGGGTGCGAGTAGTGTGCGGTGTGGGTGGGTACGTGTAGTGTGCGGTGTGGGTGGGTGCGGGTAGTGTGCGGTGTGGGTGGGTGTGAGTAGTGTGAGGTGTGGGTGGGTGTGAGTAGTGTGAGGTGTGGGTGGGTGTGAGTAGTGTGCTGTGTGGGTGGGTGTGAGTAGTGTGAGGTGTGGGTGGGTGTGAGTAGTGTGCGGTGTGAATGGGTGTGAGTAGTGTGAAGTGTGGGGGCCAGTAACAGTGAGATGCAGGTGTGAGTTGGGTGAGCTGCGGGTGTGAGTGGGTGTATTGTGAAGCGCGGGTATGAGTGTGTGACGTGTGGAGGTGAGTAGTGTGAGATGCAGATATGCGTATGGGTGAGGTGTGTGGGGGTGTGAATAGTGTGAGGTGCAGGTATGTGTGGGTGTGAGTAATGTGAGGCATGGGTATGAGTAGTTGTGTGATGTGCGGATGTGAGTGGGTGTTACTAGTTGTGTAGTGTGCAGATGTGAGTGAGGGTAATTGTGTGCAGTGCGGGTGTGATTGCAGCAGGGATAGAGCTTCACTTCTGCTCGCCCTGCTGGATGCTTCTTCACGGAGGGCACGCGTGTGCGGTCTGGCCTGGGACCATGTGACCAGGGCTGGGCAGGTGTGACCGGCCCTGATGGTGAGGGCCGCCCTCTCCTGGTGTCTGAAGGGCAGATGCACCGTGGGGTGGACCCTGGCGGTGAACTGGGCTGTGCAGGAGGTGAGGTCGCTCCTGTGGGGTCTCTGGATCCATCCAGGTGGTCCAACTGGGCGGCGCTGGCAGTTGGGATCAGGGCTGAGCCCCTCCTGCACCTGCTGCTCTGCTCGTTTTAAGGTTTGACAAGAAAGTGGGGGTTTTAACACTGAAAGCTCCTCAAAAGATCAGAGCAGTAAGAGAAGGTCTGTTAGATCTTAAACCAGTGTAACTTTTGCAACTCCTGCTTAGGTAAGCAAACCCTGCCGTTCAAATATAATAATAATTTCATTCTATATATTTACATGATTTGTTATTATGTAAATACTGATCTTTTTAACTCATGGGATGCATGTGCAAGTCACTCCGTGTTTCCTGTGAAGGGAAAAGTGAATGCAGACATGGTCCCAGACTGTCACTTGGTGTCGAAGAAGTTCGGAATCAGCCAAGATCACATCCCCATAGGACGCAATCTGAAAACACTGTTTGGTAGAGAAAGTGTGTTGCCCCCAGACCTTTTCATGAGATTGTGAGAGGATGGGCAGAACTACAGGGAAGAGAAGGGAGGCTAGCACAAGGCCGTGGTCCCACTTGGAGGCCACAGGCCCTGCACAGGTGCAGACAAGTGTGTCCCAGCCTGACTGCATGGTGGAATTCCCCGGGAAATAGCGAAAGGCTGCTTGGGGTTGGAGGTGTGCCCTGAGCAGTGGGTGGGGCTGGGGCGTGGCCTGAAGCTGTGCAGTTTTCCGGAGCTCCCCGACTCCTCAGGTGATGCATGGCCCAGCACCCCACGGCCCAGCACCCCACAGCCCAGCACCCCACATTCCAGCACCCTACAGCCCAGCACCCCATGTTCCAGCACCCCATGTTCCAGCACCCCATGGCCCAGCACTGCACAGCCCAGCACCCCACTTTCCAGCACTCCACATTCCAGCACCCCATGTTCCAGCACCCCACGGCCCAGCACACCATGGCCCAGCACTGCACAGCCCAGCACCCCACATTCCAGCACCCCACATTCCAGCACCCCATGTTGCAGCACTGCACGGTCCACTACCCCACGTTCCAGCACCCCACGGCCCAGCACCCCATAGCTCAGCACTGCACGGCCCAGCACCCCATGGCGCAGCACTGCACGGCCCAGCACCCCACGGCCCAGCACCCCATGTTCCAGCACCCCACGGGCCAGCATCCCATGGCCCAGCACTGCACGGCCCAGCACCCCACGGCCCGGGCACCTGGACTTGCCTCCTTGATTTTGTCTGTGAGTGCCCTTCTGCACATTCTTTGCACTGGTGTGCTCTCCGATATTTAAATATACACCTGTACCCATTTACAAGCTCCCATTCTTAATTCAAATAACTCCAGGTGCATTGCTGTGGCGTACTATGTATTCAAATAGTCTAACAAATTCCAAATAAGTAAGTTGGCAAATTTGTTTCTAGTCATTAAGCAGATTACACAGTTTAAAGACTCAGAATTTATTCCACTCAGCACAGTGTTTTGAGCAAGACTGAGCTGTCAGTGCCATCAAAAAAGGCCTTGCTGATGGTCATCTGGGTGGCAGCCTGCATCCCCACTCCAGCCCAGGGCCCACCTCGTCCCATGTCCCTCCTCTGGCCATCCTCCTGGCAGACTACTCCTGTCTTGCCGCCTGGAGGGTGTGGAGTTGTACCCAGCTGTTCATACAGGAAGTCCCTTTTGTAGGTCAGCTCCCTGGGCACAGTGTATCAGTAGCTGCCATCCTGTTCCTCCCCTGGAGAGGGCGGTGACTGGTGAAGGCGCGGATGACGTTGGGTGCCTTCTGCTGAGAGATGGCCCCATGGGCTCCTTCTCTCCAGGTGGCAGTGACAGCCCCAGACATAGCATTTGTTCTTAGACCGTTTTTTGGCCCATCTCGGCTGCCTATGACCTGACCTTTGATTCCTTACGCCGCAGCCTACTGTCTTCCTCTGCCCCTCCCCACCAGGGACAGGCTCTCTGAGTGGCCAGTGGTGGCCCTGGTAGAGAACAGACCGGGCTGGAGCCATCTAAGAGGACAGGGCCAGGTGGAGAACGGCCACCAGGAAAACCGCCAGAGGTGCTGCCCATCCCAGCCCCGAGCACTGCCGGTCCCACAGAGGAGGATGTGGGCATTGGATGTTTACTTGCTTGTTTAGCATCCTGTTTGTTTCGTTTTAACTTCAGCTTGACCCTAGGGAAGAGGTGCGTCTGTTGAGGTGGGGCTGAGGTTTCAAGGGAAAGATCATCCTGTGTGTGGCTTCTCGGCTGCAGCGTGCCTGGGGCAGTGCCCTGGGCAAACTAAACTGTCTGTCTTTGCCTTCTCTCCAGGAAAACGCAGCACAGTTCCCTTGACCAGAGTTCTCCACCCCAGAGCGGAGTGTCGACCTCCTATAACCACCCAGTCCTGGGAATGTACGACGCCAAAGATGACTTCCCTCTTAGGAAAACAGGTCAGTGTCCCAGGCATGCTGTGGGCCAGGAGGCCTCCTGCAGAGGCACCTTCCACACCACAAGCCACGCAGGGCCCACTGCTGTCTTCCACTTAGAGAAGGAATCACGTGCAGATTTTTAAATATTTGCTCCTTTCATTAGAGCATCATTTTGAAAAGATGTCCCTAAGCATTTCCTTATTATTTATTCCTAAAGAAATGAACCTCACACATGTACACCACTGCTGAGGACTCAAACTCACTTTGAAAGCACACTCAGTTTAGTCTTCTTTCGGTGGTGTGTTAGACTTTGCCACGCTGAGGGGCATCCCCACAGTGCTCACGGGGTGAAGCAGTTCCCGCTGGTGGGCCACGTGCCATCTGAAAGCAGGTGAGCCTGTGGCCTTCAGGGGTGGCTCTGGGCAGTGCCCGGGCAGCAGGGCCTTTCAGGGCCCCAGAGTGGGAAGGGAATCTTTACGAGAAAGAAATTCACTGTGTCCTGCAGGGGATATCCCAGCTGGGCTCAGAGTTACGGGCCACTGTTCTGTCCTAAGCCAGAGGGAGAAGGACATTTAGGCACAAGCAGGTGCCTGGACCATCTTCGAAGCAGGGAGAGGCGGCTGCAGCGGTGTCTGATAAGTCAGGATGGACCCTCTGGGGCTTTCTCAGGGGCCACGGAGGAAGCAGGCAGTGGCTTTAGATAATGGTTAAGGTGGCTGTGGGCAATGCGCTGGGGTAGCAAGAAGAGCAGAGGCCGGGGAGTGCCTTCCAGAGGCTCTGCCCAGAGAAGTGGTGAGGGCAGGAGCCGCAGCAGGCGCTGAGGGCGGGCAGTGCCTCATCCCAGGTATGGCCAGTGGATCCCACAAACTGCAAGGCAGTGTAGGAAATCCCAAGGCATCCTCCCCAGGGGGTGGCTCTTGGAGATGAAATCCTAGGGGCACCACTTTTTCTTGCTGAACAGATTCTGTGTTATCCAAAGGTTTTGGCCAATTCTGGGCGGAAACAACGCCCTCAGTCACACAAGGGCTTCTTCACTGGAGCAGTGAGGCTTTGCGAGGAGCTGCTGGGGGCCGTATCAGGCCAGCCACATCTGTGGAGCAGTGGGTCGTATCAGGCCAGCTGTGACCCTAGGGGAGTAGGCCATATCGGGCCAGCCACGTCCCAGGTGCAGTGGGCTGTATTGGGCCAGCTGTGACCCTAGAGAAGTGAGTTATATCCGGTTGGCCATGTCCCAGGTGGAGTGGGCCGTATCGGGCTAGCCATGTTCCCGGTGGAGTGGGCCCTGCTAGTGTGTATTTAGACGGTGGTGTCCCTGGAGCCGTGGGCCGTATCAGGCCAGCTGTGTCCCAGGTGGAGTGGGTCATATCAGGCCGGCCATGATCCGGGTGGAGTGGGTCATATTGGGCTGGCCATGTCCCTGGAGGAGTGGGCCATAACAGGCCAGCCATGAACTCAGAGGAGGGGCTGTATTGGGATGGTGGAGACCCTGCTGGAGAAGGCCACCTCAGGATGGCCATGTCCTCTCCAAGTCAGAGGCACAAGAATCCTGCAAACATGGGTGCATTTCCATTTGGGCCATAAGCCTTTATTGGGAAAAGTGAACCTAGAGCTGCTGCTTCTTTGAGTTTCATGGGTGTGAGCCTGTGGTTCTTACTGATGCTTCTACTGACAATGGTCCTGGATTTCACCTGGAGAGCGCCCTAAAGCTCGACAGAAGGAACCGATTTAGGGATCCGTATTTTTTCCAGAAAGATGTGCCCAGTAATATCAGGAGAGAATCTGAGCCGACTCTCGCAGATCGTCCTCCAGGTTCCCTTTCTGGGGACCGATGCTATTATTAATCAAATTCCATCAACAAAACCAAAGTCCACAGTGAGTGGTGGGCCCTGTGCTGGGAGAGAGACCGGGGAATGGGGAGGCGAGGAACGTGCCTGCCTGGAAGAACCCTGCGCCGGGAACTGGAGCGACACCGAGGGCGGAGGGCGGGAACCCGGAGGTGCTGCCGTCAAGCACTGTGGGTTGGATCTGTGCGCACTCACGTGACGGTTCTGTGTGCCCTGAAGCAAATGCCCTCCGTTCCCCTGGCCTCCGTTTCCCCCTCAGCGCAGCGGGTCTGTCCACACCCACATCCTCACGGCTGTGGTATGCACCCAGCCCCAGTGTCTCCTCTTGTCCTGGGAGTGATGGCTGTGGCACTGACTCCAGAGCCACAGACCCAGGAGGGAGCGTCTGGCGAGAGCTTGGCTGCCAAGCCGAGCAAGTCGGCCTCACGTGGGGACGTGCTTTCCCAGAAATGCCCCATCTGGTGCCTTCCCACCAAGGACCCCAGAGCAGTTCCCCAGCACCTCCACACCCCAGCTCATAGTAGAGCAGCAGGGATGGGGGAGCCCTAGGAGCTGTTTGCACTGGCTCCTCCCCCATCCCAAACATCAGCACTACCTGGGGACCAGCCTCCTGTTCTAAGAAACAGAACCCGGCATGAATACTTCGTAGCAAGGAAGGCTAGCAGCATGGGAGATGGCACCCTGTCACGGCCCTGCCCTGCTGTTCGCCACTAGAGGCCTTTCTCCCATAGGCAGGGCCCCCGCCATCTCTCTCAGTTTCCGTGGCCCTTGGCTTCCTGTGCTGCCTTGTGTTTCTCTGGGGATGATTGGAAGCAAAGTCTCCCACACCGTCTACTGTGCTTCTAACCTTGTGATAGCACCACCCTCCAACTCCCCGCTTCCTTGAGAACAGAAGAGAAAATTCTCTTCTCACACTTCGGGAAATGTTATCTAGAATACATGGTGCTCCAGAAGAACTTAATTAAGATTTGATTGCATTATCAGTTTTTTAAAAAGACATCACTACCACATTCATAACATTAATAACATAAAGATTTCAGAGAAAATGTTTAGACCACTTAAGAGAATAGTGTGTAGTTACACACCCTGTATTACCCTTGACATATCTGTCTACTTTCAAACACGTGACGTCACTCATTCTAAGTGATTTACATCTGTGCTTTTCTGCAGTAATTGGTAATACGAAACACGTCATTACATTTTAATTACGAAGTTCCTTGAATGAATTGAAATGATAATCTTTAATAATTGTGATGTACACTTAAATAATTACATGATTTTGACTTTACATTACCTTATACTGACCTAGCACACAGTTTGCCCACTTCTCCATCTCTAAAGGGCTATTGTATGACCTGTGAGCATGTGAAAAGCTTTGCCCCTGTCTTGTGAATTTTGTCATCACCCCGTGCATTTTTTGCATGTCCTTTGCTGGCTCTGCTGACAGGTCACATCTGTACCAGCTCAAATGTCTAACCTCCCTGGTGAAAGCAATGCAGTGACTCCTATTCTGAGCTTGGGCATATTCCGGGCATTCACGTCGCCTGTGCCTGTGGGCAGGACCAGGTGCCTGAGTTTCTGCCCAGCTCCTTCACTCGCCACCTTGGGACTTAGGGGAGCTCTTGAACCTTCTCTGTGCCTCAGTTTCGTCATCTGTGAAATGTACCTTTAATTTGCTTCTCTCATCTGTGAAATGTACCTTTAATTTGCTTCTCTCCTGGGGCTGTCATGAGACGTGAATGAATTAATATTTGCAAAGTCTTTCGCGTAGGACCAGATCAGGGTGGTTTCTGCTCTTGTTTCTCTACACTGTTAGGGTGATTTTGATTTTTTTCTCCATCCAATGACTGGTAACTTCCGGACCCAGCATCCCCCCACCTCCTTCCCTCCGTACCCAAGTTCAGGTAGAAGCCAGCAGGAGCCACTTCCTCCACTTAGAGAAGGACCACAAGGATGGGAACACCAAGATTTGTACCAAAAATCTGGCCAGAAGGGCCCATCTTGCTCTGTTGGCTTTTCAGGGCTCATCTCCTCGTTCCTGGCTTGCCTTCACCTGAGTGCCATCTCCCAGGAGCTCAGAACTAGGCTGGGCTCGAGAGTCAGACCCCTCTACCCAGGGCCTCAGGTCCAGCTCTTCCTGCCAGAGGCCCCGCCCCTTTCCTGGAAGATTGGCAGCAGGGGTGTCTCCACTTCAGAGCTCTTCACCTCCTGCCAGATTTCGGCCCAGGGTGAGGTGGTGCCTGGTCCCTTCCCATGTCTGTGCAGCCTCAAGGGTCACCCTGACTTTGGGTTTCTGCAGACTCGTGAAGCTGCCAAATGTGTATTTTTAAATGTAGTCGTAAGAGACAGAACTGTGTGGATCACTGTCACGGACATAGGATGCTGGATCTTTCCTGCACTGTGTAGGTGTTAGACGGCTTCACCAGAAACTGCATTTAAGCAGAGCCTTCGAGTCCATGTTCACACTGAGGAATGGAGGCTTTTCCACTTTTACAAGCAAGCAGCGTTTTGTCATTTGGATGATGTTGAAGGATCTTATTTTTCCCCAGTAACATCTTCATCGTCTTAAAGATATTAGTCATCGTGTATTTTTTATAATGACTCTTAAATTTTCCCCTCATGTGACTTCTGATAGATGAAACAAGGCCAAAACAACTAACTGTTGTCCAGCCAGCACAGTTCTTTCCCATTTGTCAGCAGCTTCTTGGACCTGAGCACTGAAAACCATGCACTCCACAGAACGCCTTGTCCAGCATCCTCATATGTCCCTGGGCACATGGTCCTAGCAGTAAACACTCTCCCCAGCACGTGTCAGGACCCGGCTGCCGGCCTGGGCTGTGGCACTGCCGTGGATCATCCTGGCTCTTTTAAGGAAGCAAAACGCCAGAGCTCACGTTCAGTGAGACGTTGGCGACCTCAGCCTTGTTCTGGCATTCGCTAGCCTGCCTGGTGGGGTTGGTGCCCGCAGTTGGGTGTGAATTGGGAGGGGGCTGGGCTGGTCCTAGGGACGGAGTTCTGATGACCCCTGTATGGACCATGGATCTGGGCAGTCAGCCAAAGGTCCTGGGCTCCCCCTGCACTTGCCTCCGTGGTCAGCCTTGGAGAGTGTTCGTGTAGCTCTGCCCTCCTCACCCGGGGCCTTCTGAAACCAGTCGCTCGAGGTCACGGCTGCCCATG